TGGTCTTCTACTCTCTAGCTCCTTTCTAGACTCCTCTGTTCACACCTGGGGCGGACAGGAAAGGCTCCGCCTGGTTTTAAGCCTCGTCTTCGGCTCTATTCGCTGAAAATGGCCGTCAGACATGATTTTAAAACACTGTTTATTTGTTTTTCAGGTTAAAATCACTGTCTACGGGGCCAAAAATGATTTCCTGCAGTACGAATGTATTAACTTTTGTCTATTAATGACTAAAATGATTTTTATTTCCTTGAAATATTAAAAGCCCCTTTGAAAATCACTATTACTGTCAATGGGACTAAATCTGTTAAGGCTAAGGAAGTATTGACAAACAGCACCACATGCACTAACAACACCTGAAACACTTTTAATTTGTTCCTGTGAGCAGCTGTGATATGATTGTTAAAAATGAAAATGAGGATGAAATGAGAAGACTTTTGAAGGGCATCCAAATTGGAGAATTTTGCTCCATTTTGAAGATTTTTATGAACTATCTGCAGTTCTGAATGGATACCTAAAAGGTCTCAAATGTTTGACAACCTGCTGGAAAACGGATGAATCTCCAATCAATGTTGCCGCGGCAACCAGTGCTGCGAACCTGCGATTAGTCCTGCTGAAACAAAGTCGACCTCCCGCTGCCTGTCCGATGACATCAGCATCGCTGACGGACTTCTAACCCTGTTTAATGTTATTCATCTGACTCTTTAGCTTGTGCTTTGACTACTGTAGGCTTCCAGCCACTTTAAAAACTGGCTAAAAGAGCAGATAATTAAAAATGTTTATATTATATTATTTAGTGTGTAATCTTAAGTAAAAGTTCATCAAATTACGATACAAGGATTTAAAAGGTGATGATGGCGACACCAGGGCTGGTTACTTTAAAACCAATGAAATCCTTGAAACTTTCCAAAGCAGAGATCCAGGAAGAATCCATGAATAAAACTAAAACATCAGAGACACACATGGAGTTACTGCAGGAACTGTTAGATTTTTTAATATATATTGTCTTAATCGGTGCTGAAAACATTGAATTTGACCAAAAACAGGAACCAGAGACATTCTGCAGCGAATAAGTGATGTAGTAGATGTAGTAAACTGGTCAGTATTTTAGTGGAGTTTCAGAGAAGAAAAGGGGAACTTGATAAAAAGTGATTTTATTTATTTGCTGCTCCTCTCTCTCTGACTTCATGGTTTCAGGACCAGATGAGCAGCTTTCTGCTGTCCTGAGACGGTCATTAAACCAAACACAGCCGCTGATGATGGTTTTTTGACTTAAGAAATTATAAAACATAAAAGTTCAATGGTTATGAATCTTGTTGCTAAGCAATGTACTTCCATGTAATATAATAGAAGCCTTTTGTTTTTACTCTGTTTACTGGAACAGCGTCACATTCTTTCCAATTAAAACTGTGGCTGCTGCAGCGGCATCCTGCTGAGGTGGATGGAAGCTCCGCTGAGAAACGGAAGCTCAGGCTTTATTGCTCCAAATTATTCTCCAATTTGCATATTTACATTTTAACTGTGCATTCATATATATGTACAATAAAAATGCAACTATAAACACCCAATGATAATGCTGTATTTGCATAGGATGAAACTTTGGCAGGTAGGAAATATATTTAGAACTGTTATTTTTGAAATTGGATAAACCGCCCCCCCCATAAAAACAGCCTGGAGCAGACAGACAAACAAACACACCACTGGCACAATATAACCCTAGATAGCTGAGGACCCCCCCCCCCCTGTCTAATCTTCTGTCAAACACGGCGCAGAGCTCATGCTACCATCAGGCTCGGGGCCACGATGACGGCGAAGCCATTCCTGTACTTCTGCTTTTAGGGAGCAAACCAACCCGCATCCTCTGAACAGACTTTAAGTAATCCTCTAAAAAAATGAAATCCTTGACATTTCGGCTGATTTCCAGTGTACAAATTTAATATCCCCCCGTGGAGTTTTAAATGGGGATTTCAGAGATCCGACAGCAGAAGCGGGTTTATGTGCAGATGCTGGTCTTCTCCTGTTTGCCTCAGAGAAAGTCAGGTCAATGCAATCTGCAGCGATCCGACCCATCTGACGTGCAAACAGCTATTTAGCAGCATCTTCTGCCTTTTCTCTTGATACTGACATGTTTTTGTGGTTGATGCTACAGGTATAGAGATGAGCAGCTAATGAGGAGTTCTCACCTGTGCCTGGTGTCCCGGTTCCTGATAATAAGCCATGGAGGGGGTGTTTGAAAAGGAAAAGAAAAGAAGATCATTATTATGATGCTAAGAAAAACAGAAAACAGGTTTTACAGGTTTTACAGGTTAATAATGAAGCGTCTCCGATGAAATAGTAGAAGAACTACTCTGCTGGCTCAGTATTTAGAAACGTCTAACTCCAAACCTTTCATACATTTGAAGATGATTGAGCAAACAGACATTTCTACTTTTGTTTGCAGATCACATCTAATTTCCTTAAACAGCCTTTTTAAAATGATGGTAGGTGATTAAGTGAAGCTAAAGAAGTGGCTTCATCCATCATTTTAAAGATCCGAATAAAACAGCCGGTTGTTTCAGTTCAGGACTATTTTTTGATCATTCAATCAGTTGGTAGAATTGTGATAAAGCCGTTTCCCCCACTAACAGATTTATTTTCTGTTTTTGCTGTTTTGCTACGATTAGATTTCTAAAATCATTTCAGATGACTTTGTCGTTTATCAGGGAAAGAACAGGACTATTCAGATCATATTGGCCCGATGTTAGAAGGTAATTGGCACCAAGTGGAACGCTGAGTAAAATGTCACAAGCAACTCCCAGGCTTAATTACTGCCGACCAGCAGAGGCAGGAAATTACTTCAATGGAACAACTTGGACATAATTAAACAGGCTGAAAGATTTACGTTAGAAAAAAAAAAACTGTTCCACTTTAAAGAAATTGAAGAACAGATGAGAAAGAAAGTAACTGACATTTATCGTCTGGAAGCAGTTTAAAGGCCATTTTTAGGACTTAGAGGATAAAATGAACTACAACGACTTCCCATCAAAAAATAGTGGAAAAGTGACCTGAGATTAGTTCACCAAACGACCCTAAAAGCATCCAGGGATTCGGTCAATTCAATTCTATCCAGTTTATTTCTATAGCTCCAATTCACATCATGTCCTCTCATGTCACTTTCCAGTTCAACCAGATCATCCAGTCAGATTGATTCAAAGGAAAACCAGTTGATTCATGGACCCTGCTGATGCGGTCCGGCCATCGGTCCAGGAAACAGACAACAGCTTCAGCAGCTTGTCAGAGTCGCTGCAAAGCGTTGTTTCCAGGGTCAGCACGGCCGCGCTGCTGATCGGTTCATCTCATGGGGTTTCTGCTGCTAGTTTTGAACCAAATTATCCTAAGAAGTCATGTGTCTGCACCTCCTGTCTGCTGCAAGCCGCCCCAAAGACGCGACAGTTTCACACTAATCGTCTTTGGATTTTAGCTCTTCATGTATTTTTCTCTTTATTTATTTTATCACTGGGATATGCAGCTATTTTGTTACATTTCCTCTTCCTACATTAGGCAGCAACAGGCAGGCATTCACTCTGCAGGCTAACCGTGCTACAAAGGACCAGGGTCCAGATTCTGTTTAATCCAGTTTGTCTCTATCACACTAATTAACAAAGCACTTCATTTCAAGGTCTGTTACAGAGACGCTTCAATCAAACCATCAATAAACGGTTCAAAGTTTTCTCTAGAAGGAAACCCAGCGGATTGCATTGGGTCATTGGCAGCATTTGGCTCCTCGTAATTAACTGTGATGACATCAGCTAATGTGAGCGGCTTGGTCTGCCCAGCAAAAACCAGTCTGCAAAAAGGGATCTATGGAAGAGGTCAAAGGTGGATTTACCATTAGGCAATACCAGGCAGTTGCCCCATCAGAATGTTGATAATATTAAGTGTGTCTTAGCCCCCCCCCCTTCAGTGTCCACCATATTGGATCAGTCCATTTGCTGCACATGTTCAGAAAGGTCCAAACAGACAGCAGCAAACCATTTGAAAACAAACCATGCAAAGAGCAGTGTTGCCAACTTAGCGCTTTAGTCGCTATATTTAGCCACTTTTCAGACCCCTCTAGCACTTTGATTTCTAAAAAGCTCCTAGCGCCAAATCTAGAGACTTTTTTCTGCTACTGGAGACTTTGGAGACAACATCTAAAAGCAGCGAACTCTGCTCTCCAGAGCGAGTAGATTGGTAACCCCGCCTCCTGCTCTCCTCTATCTTGTCTGCTGTCATGATTAAGTGAGCTTAGTGCTTGGAAAAAGTCTTTCATTCCTTTAGAGGCAGCCTCCAAAAGGCCAAAAATAGAACATAACAAAATCAGAGATTTGAAGTTGCCTGATTAAAGGTTGGAGCCTCATTGTTACACAACAGACTGATTTCCAATGATCTGATGACAAAAAAAGAACACAACCAGCTATTGGGTGGAATTCCATGTCTAACAAAGGAGCAGGTTGGTTTGATGGGCTGCAGGTATAAAAGCAACAGTATAAAAACTGCACCTTTAGATTTACTCATGAAAACCGTGCATTGCTTTCACAGCAGAGATTAAACACAGTAAAACTGGACTAAACTAAAATTACGAAAAGCAACAGATGCTCAACGCCTTTCTTATTGCAGGATTAGGCTCGATTTGGACGACTGTGTTCTTTCACATTAAATATTAAGTTAAACAGGAAGCTTTTTGTCATTTCCTCCCAGGAGATGGGGAGGTATCAAATAGAGACCCTGTGAAACCAGAAATATTAGTCAGAGGTAGGATAATGACAGCAAATGAGAGAGTTAAGTTACATAAGGAGAGCACTCTGCAGGACAAATGACTGTGCAATCCCACTGAGATTTTACGCTTGAGAAAATAGAGAAATGGAGAATGTAGTGCCTGCAGCACAGTAGGTGATATCATCATAATCCACAAAAAAAAGGCTTTGTTTCAGAAAAAAAGTCTCTCCCACATCCTAAAGAGGTAGATTAGGGCCTGTGATGTCAGAACCTCACATTTATTGCCTCTGAATAAAAGACAAACTTCAGAGTATTCAGCTCAGATCAAACAGATCAGAGGTGCTGATGTCATCCGGCACTAATTCAAAGCTAACCTTTATCAGCTGAGCTCATCTTTTTAATTCAAAATGAAACCTCATAGTTAGCGCTGCACTAAAGTTTGCCGTTCTCACTTGAGTTCCAGGATGGTCCTGGTGTATCCGTCTGGATGGACCCTTCGGATGAAGTTGAAGTCTCCGATGTAGAGAGAGCCTTCAGGGCCGCTAGCCAGGGCCACGGGGGCAAACAGCATCATGTCCCGAGCGGCGCCGCTGCAGCTGGGACCGCAGGGGACGCTGCGGTAGAAACCATTCCCCATGACGGTGCTGATGACCGGAGGCTGCTGCGATAGGAAGACGTTTTCTCCATTTCCTTTATGAAGGATTCCTGTGGAGAGAGAAATGCAATAAATCTCTAAAAGCCCTCAGAACATGTTGCCTGAGTCGGTGCGTTCCCACAGGGCATTGCAAGCCCTATTTATGCCTAAAGTTAAACATTAAACTAATAACACTTGTATATTTGTAGTGTCTACAGTTAAAGGACTGAATTAGTGTTAACATCTTTATGTGCTTCTATAAGATTTAAACATTTAATAAAAAGGACTTTATTAGGATGATTATATGTTAATTATTGCAGGAACAACAGGAAGCAGGAAACAGTAACTAAAGAGAGCACCCACCACTGTGGATGTTGAGGGCATGGTGTTTGTCCAGGGACCATCCTCCAAGATTAGAAGGCACCAGTTCAAAGCCATGCATCAGAGCCGTCCTCCTTTCCCAATGGACGACTCCAGGACATGATTCATACTCATAACCCACTGATACTGGAAGGCAAACACACAAACAAGAGACGTGTTCAGACCTGAGCAACTATTTCTTGACCAGGAACAATTTTCACAAAGGTTTTAACAGCTAACGATTTAAAAACATTCACTTCCTCTTTATATGAGCGGTTTGAGATTTCTACAGCTGTAAGTAGCCAAAGGTAAAACAATAAAGCTCCTCCCCCATCCATGGCTGCCACTGCTGGTCAGCTACCTGAAGCCGGGCATAAACTGTAGGATTTTTTGTCGTTTTTGGGCCGATTCTCCAGTTGCGTGAGAATGTTTTCAATCAGGCCGAGTTTCAACCTGATGGTGCGTCCTGCGTGGTGTAGTATACAGGTGGTAACGAGGGGCGATCAGCCTCTAACGACCACCTCCCCATCAGGAATCGTAAGATCAGGAGAAAATCAAACATGTTTAAAATTCAGTCGTCCCTCCTGAGGTGTTGGTGGTAAATCCTGCAGTTGAAGCAGAGCTATGAGCCGATTTACCAGAACCGGTGTGAGAACATTCATCGTGAGCTGCGAACTTTTAAACCCTGAGATTTCATGTGTTGCAGCAGAAATTTACCATAAAATGTCGCTGTCATTCTTTAACATGCAATATCACACGTACAGTCAAAGCAAGGCAATGAATGAAGGGATGGACTCTAAGACATAAAAACTGTCTAAAATGTACGTCTGCTGTTGGCAGAAAGGACTTTATGGGATTCTTTATAAATAAGATTGATCTTGTTAAAAATTAGATGATTAGCACTCCTCGAACTATAATTGGTTTATCTCTGGAAGTTCCTGAGCTAATCTAGTTAGAGTGGCTCAGGTTATCCTGA